CTTTATAAATATAATATAATGTACCAGAGATCCATTAGTGAGTTACTATGTTCACTGTAGCCACTTAATGAGAAAAACTGTCAACCACAGCTTAAAGCACAAAATGTAATGATAGGAATCCACAGCCACTCAAACCTGCAGTACTCGCAAGTACAACAGAGGTTTAAAAGGCCTCAATTACCTTCCCAAAAAAATTACTTACAGCAAGACTGTCAAATGCCTAACACACCTGTGCATGGTAGTTTCTCTTCTCCTCTGTGAGAGCTACCAGCACTGCAGGTCACAGCATCCAAGGATATGTCTACACTGCAGTAAAACATCTGCAGCTGGCCTGCGTCTGCTGACTTGGCCTCTCAGGGCTATATAATTGCAGTGTAGATGTTCGGGCTCAGATTGGAGCTCCTCCCTGGGCTCAGGGACCCTGTGAGATGGGAGGGTCACAGAGCCCAGGCTCCAACTTGAGCCCAAACATCTACACTGCAATTTTATAGCCATGCAGCCAAAGCTTGAGGCAGCTGACATGGGCCCATTGCAGGGTTTTTTTTACTACAGTGTAGACATATCCCATGGGCCACTATTGCCCCTTCCACCCAGTTGGGCAGGCCGGCGTGAAGAAAAGACAGTGCCTTAAGTCTGTCCCCCAATGTGTACACTAAGAGGAATGAGACCTGCTGAAGGGCTGGCATGAGTTTCTTCCCCCCTACCCTGAAGCAAGTGGGGAACCAGGGAATAAATTAGGACTGAGTCACAATTCACTCTCTAGGCAACCTCTTATCCAGGGCAGATTTTATTGTCAGTCTAGTCACCAATTTGGCAGGAAGATCTGTCAGAGTCTAAATTTCCAATGGTGAAAGGACAGGGTGGCAAAGATGTTCCTTTTAAAACTAGGGCTGTCAAACGATTTAAAAAATTAATCGCGATTAATTGCAGTTTTAATTGCACTGTCAATAATAGAATATCATTTAAATATTTTTGGATGTTTTCTACAATTTCAAATATATTGATTTCAATTACAACACAGAATGCGAAGTGCACAGTGCTCACTTTGTATTATTTTTAATAATCTTAGTCATGAAAGTCCATTACAGGTAGGACCCCATAAATGTAAACAAACTTGTTCGCCTTAGCGATTGGCTGAACAAGAAGTAGGACTGAGTGTACTTGTAGGCACTAAAGTTTTATTTTTGAGTGCAGTTATGTAACCCAAAAAAAAAATCTACATTTGCAAATTGCACTTTCATGATAAAGAGATTGCACTACAGTATTTATATGAGGTGAGTTGAAAAATACTATTTCTTTTGTTTATCTTTATTACAATGCAAATATCTGTAACCAAGAATAATACAAAGTGAGCACTGTACACTTCACATTCTGTGTTGTAACTGAAATCAATATATTTGAAAATGTAGAAAATCATCCAAAAATATTTATAATAATTTAAATTGGTATTCTATTATTGTTTAACTGTGTTCTTAAAATGGCAATTAATCAAGATTAATTTGTTTTGAGTTAATCGCTTGCGTTAACTGCAATTGACAGCCCTATTTAAAACTAAAAAACCTCCCAAATTAAATCCACCACTCCCCTGACAAGAAAGAAATCCCCAATTTTCATGTAGAACTTATGTAAAACTCAGTGGTTTACGTGCCCCCTTCACTCACTTGCTCTACAAAAGCTAGCCACAGTTTCCTGAATTTTGCTGTCATCATGGTGGAAAGTGACGCATAAATAGTGAACTTATATAAAATAAGGTTTGAAATTAAAAACAAAAAAACGTTAATTGCAATCCTGTCATGAACTGCAGGAGGAGAAAGAAAATCACAAGAAAGAAAAATATGTCTAGAAAACAAAACTAAGATTTATTTACAGCAGAAGTTATTAAAGAATATAAAGTAGAAACCAAAAATGTAAACAGATGTTATGTGTGTAAGGCTTGTAGAAGAACACATGAAAGCACATGAAGATCTGGCAACTATATTACCCTTCCAACTGATCCAGACACAGAGGTGAAATGGGGACAGACACATGGATAGAGTTGAAGCAGCAGACTGCAACTTTTATTACTCAAACACAAGGGAGGGGCGTGACCCATACTCTCCTATACCAGACATTTAAGTGGTTCCACTGCAGGAGTTAGGGGGCTCCTACCATATAATCCATAATTCGGGGTAGGCTCTCCTCAGCCAATTCCCCAGGACTCAGCTTGCTCTGAGTCTTAGCCCCTCCCCCCGATGAGGGGGTCAGAGGATGCCAAAGAGTAAGGACTTTGTCCCATAAGAGCCACAAGATCTGACCCTATGCCATGAGCCCAAGGCCCATCAGCAAAATCCCAGGTCTTTTTCCTCTGGGCCCATTCATTGTACCCTTTTAACTGCACTGGAAACCAGCAGTAAATTGTTACAAATTAACAACTCTACCAAGTACATCAGTTAGGTACTAAGCGCATTCCTACTTAATCCACTGTGACTCCAAGATGCTGAAAAGAAGGCAAAAATGCTCCCTGGGTTTCTGCCAATTGGCCCTGTGAAAGATAAAATTCCTTCATGATCCCCAAACAGGCGACAGGTTAGACTCACAGCATCTGCCAGGCCAGATTCCCATTTCTAGTTCAGGGTGGGTAGGGCAGGCTTCTGGAATGGAGCCCAAAGAGGCTCTGCACTGCCTATGCTCCATGTTAAATTCCTGGAGCTGAGCTAGGCAGATCAGTGCCCCTCTCCATCAATGGGCGCCAGAGATCCAACGGACAGGGAGGAGCTACGTGGAGCCCCTCAGTGAGTGTCTTCCTCCCTCGCTGCTGGGGCTGTCCCTCTTCGCAGCTGGCCCCATCAAGTTCCCCTGCCAGTTGATGCAGGCAGGTAGCATTTTTATCTCCTGTTTTTAATGTGTATTTTATCATCTTATTTTTGCAGAACACTAGCTGATGCAACACACAGAGTAAATCTTTTCAAATGGATATGCCAACTGGTCCTTTCTCTCACTGGTTTTACTTGGAACTGGACAGGAAGGGAACAAAATAAATGACACAAAATCTTAAAAATCAAAACCAAAAAGAGTAATTGTCCATTCATACCCAGGTATGCCACAGATTTACTATTAACAGCACGACCAGAAGGAATTCACATACCTTGTGACCTCCTGCTGCAGTCGGGACACATTGGGCACATAGAACATTACCCCAAAGAAAAGCAAAGGCTCATTGGCAAATTTGTCCAGCTGTTTCTTCAGAGGTTTTTCCAGTTCTACCCATCGTGCTTGCTGGCTCTTGCTGAGAAACCAAAGGCCAAAGTAGTGTGTCTAGATAAAGAAGTAAAATAGAGACAGTTTATTTTCTGAGCCAGTTTACCAAGCCCACACACAACTGAGATCATAAATACAAATAAGAATGGAAGGCAATAGTGTGTCAATTTTCCCAACCCAGATGCAAGGCCAAAGTAGTCTTTTGCTTTCTCTTTTACTTCTTAGGACTAATTTGAAGAAGATGTCAAATAATTTTTGAAATACAGTGTACATCACAATGCAGGATCAGTGCTTTTCACTATAGCAGTCGTGTTAGTCTGTATCCGCAAAAAGAACAGGAGTGCTTGTGGCACCTTAGAGACTAACAAACTTGTTAGTCTCTAAGGTGCCACAAGTACTCCTGTTCTTTTTGCTTTTCACTACTGTCTATACAGGGTTGAACGTTAATGATAGGTCTACTCAGCAAGTAAATACCCACAGCTGGCCTGTGTCAGCTGACTCAGGCTCACAGGGATTGGGCTGTGAGGCTGTAAAACTGCGGTGTAGATATGCATCTGTTGCAGAGAAAGTAGATGCCAACTGCTAAGTTGAAAAATACCTCTTCTATAGGAGGGTTTTGAGAGGGGTGTGATGGTAGGGTCCCCCCCCCCCCATCTAGCACAATGAGATACAAAGAATCTACACATGGAACTTTAGGATTAAAGTAAAAGATTTTATACACATTAAGACTTTTTTCATGAAGTTTTGAAAGGTCTCGAATTCTTTCTGTATCAATATGAAAACACATTATAACAGCTCAATTTTCCCCCCCAAAACAAATGTTTTCTGGCCAGCTCTAGTACTAATAAGCCCTTAAAGTGTGATGTTGGCATGTGTTAGAAATCATTGATATTTCTGCATGTATATCCACTGTCTAAGAAACACATGTACATTCCAAGAAATTCCATGTCATGTATATAAGCCTGGTGCCATGTGGAACATAAGGCAATTTTTAGAAAACTCTGGAAGAAAACTGTACCAACTTTTTTTTCACTACGGCTCTTTGTATGTGTGTGAAAGGTACCAGACTGAATTCTAGCAACATGTTCTCTTTCTATCCACAAAATGGGTACGGGGTAGTGCCATCACAAACTTCCCCTCACAGTACCACTTTGAAGTACAGTTCATTGCAAGTGCTGCTTCAGTCACTACTGGCCTCTTTGCTGAAACAGTCTACAGTGTTGCAATTTCTGCTAGTTGTGGCTGTGGTTTTTTTATGTGGATACTTGTCCGATGAAAACTGGTGATCTGTGTGAAATGAGCTATTTATCTTCACCCAAAGAGCCATCAGAGGGTACCAACTTTGGGGAATGATATATCTGGGCTTGTTCTGAATCATTTGCCTAGAGATGAAAGGCACTCTATTACGTGACAATACCCAGAAGGCAGAGTCTCCGTACTTGTGAATTATAAACCTTGCTATACAGGAGGTCAGTAATCTTCAGGTTGTTTAATTCCTTTAGCATTATAAAATATTTGAAAGTGTCAAGAATTAATGCCTCAGTGAACTTTCTTTTCTTTTAAGTCAGGTAGCTGAGATTCAGTTAATTGGTACAGCTTTTTTATGAGTCATTTATCACATACATAGAAAACTAGTCTGTGCACTCACAAGTGTATCTAGCCTTTCAGTTTGTGACTTACTTCTCCTCCCTTATAGCATTTAGCATATCACTTCTTCTACATTCCATAAATGCCCACTGTACTTTCCACCTTTTCTTCCACAGGTCATTATTCAATTATCTGAGATGCATACTGCCCTTGGACTGCCTGTTACATCTACCAGAACATGCCAGAAGTTTAGAAGTCAGAGGTGAATTCACTTCATTTTCCTTGGAAAGTTTAAAGTAGTTCAAAATGTTTGGTTTTATTTTTTTCTTAGTTTTTATTCCCAGGGTAAAATGACTTCTGCTGTTCAAAGCCTCTTATTCACAGTATTTATATATTTTTTCCTAGCCTTTGAATAACAGATGTAAACTTTAGACTACAAATAATCTTGGTTATTTGGGTGATTTTTAAGATCGCTGACATTGGAAATCCAAGATGACACAGATTACTGCAAGCCCTTTAATAACTTGAAAGTTCAGTACAGTATCTTCAGTAAGGCCTGTGTTATTTCATGTTGAATGTGAACTAGTTAGTTTCAAGAGTTCATGTATTAAAAGATTTCTTCTGAAAGGTGGTAAAATTACTATACTTTATTCTACTCCCACACATTCCTTTTCCTTGCAATCTCTCCTCTCCTCCCACCTGCAACTAAATCTAATCTAACCTAGCAATGAATTAGTAAGGAAGGAACATTCATTTGATGATTACATATATGGAATGATTATGTAGCAGGAAATTAGTTTTAACTGTGTGATTATTATTTTTTTAAGTTTATACTTTGGGATGCATTGTTGCCTCTAAATGTTTTATTCTGCCCATTCCTTTAAAATATTGATGGAAATTCTACACTGATTTTAAACAAAACAGGGACCGTTTGCCTCACCTTACCAGACAACTGTAAAGAGTAGGGCAGAAGTCACAATTTTCAAACACCCTTGCCTATAATATGCATCGTATTATACATTTTTATTTAAATACACCTTTTCATCAGAATTTGAGGTGGTTGGAATTTTTCTTTAAATAAAAAGTTGCAAAAAGTTCCAACATTTTCAACATTGTTTCCATTTTACAGGGTTTAATATACTTTTAAATATATTTCATATATTTTTATTGAAATTTTTATCAAAGACTTTATTGAAATGTTTAGTTTTACTTTAAACTGGGTACCAGTATAACCCTTCCTCCTATTGTTCTACTAATGTACCTCAACCCTGACGTGGAGGGACCCCAACTATAGGGATGAAAGGGCAGAACATTTCAATATCTGTTCAGTTGTTGGCCTCTTAGAATCATAGGGTTAAAAGAGACCGCAAGGGTCATATAGTCTAGCCCCCTACCAACATGCAGGATATGTTGTGTCTAAACCATCCAAGACAGATGGCTATCCAGCCTCCTTTGTGAAAACCTCCAGTGAAGGAGATTCTACAACTTTCCTAGGCAGTCTGTTCCACTGTCCTACTGTTCTTACAGTTGGGAAGTTTTCACTGAGGACATGTCTACCCAGGGACACAACAAAGGTGAGCCAAATTAACTGAAGGTGTGAAGTTAAAGTGCATTAATGCACTTTACATGGTGGGTTCAAAGATATAATAATCAATTCATTAAAAATGAACAATGAGACCTTTATTAATACAAAACTTTGTTGTAAAGGCTTAAAAATCCCACAACTTTCAGTTTAATAAATGTTTGCTATACAGTAGTACCTCAGAGTTACAAACACCTTGGGAATGCATGGAGGTTGTTTGTAACTCTGAAACGTTTGTAACTCTGACCAAAACCTTATAGTTGTTCTTTCAAAAATTTACAACTGAACACTGACTTAATATAGCTTTGAAACTTTACTATGCAGAAGAAAAATGCTGCTTTCCCTTTATTTTTTTAATAGTTTACGTTTAACACAGTACTGTACTGTATTTGCCTTTTTTTTTCCCCCGTCTCTGTGGCTGCCTGATTGCAAATGAAGTGTGTGGTTGACTGGTCGGTTCCGAACGCTAAACTTCTACTGTAACCTTCAGTCTATAATAGAGACGTCCCTACTCATTTGTCAGACACCATGGTGGGAATGCCTGGAGGAGAAAGACTAATAACACCTATTGAAGTAATTAACTTAAATCAAAGGACTCTAGTGACTCAACACTTATTGGTATATTCAGCTATAAAGCCAAGTATAAATTGAACTTTAAGCAAGAGGAAGAGTCCCTGCTGCTTTAGCCATAAAGCATCAGCATACCTCTAATAGAAGAGTTCCCCCTAATTCCATGCTAGGATATCAGTTCAATACTGATTTAGAGGGGAGATCACCACTTACTACAGCTGCTTGTTCTTGGAAGGTTCTCCCATTCATGTACTGATTGGGTATAATCCTGTTTAGTCTGAGACTGAGACAAGTCAGACACATTTGAGGCAGTAGGACTGCAGAATGCAGGACTTCCTGTTATGTCCAGCCAGTACTTGGATGGGAACTCTTTAAAGAAAAGCCCAGAGTACTGTAGTAAGAGGTGCTGATGATTCAGTAAGTAGCACTCTTCCCTCTGCCTCGGTACTGAACCAGTGATCCATGTGAAGTTCTGTGGCACCATATGGTGCTAGAGGTGCCATTTTTCTTACACCCAACCCCATTATGCCTGGCTACTGAGAGTAGCATAATATCAAGGTAAAGTTTGCTGTGCATGCTTAATATCAACCAACTAATCTATTAATCAGTTAAAAAGTGCATTATTGATTTACATATCCTTAACCAAAATAAAAAAGAAACAGTTTCATAGCCAGCTAGCACAGCAAAATTCTTCTGTAATAGCTAATACAGATACTCCTCTCCAATAAAAGAACTGGTGTAAGTCCTATTATGCTAAATTCCTTTCCTGCTGTGTGTGTGTGTGTTTGTGGAAGATGATATAATGCTAAAAGTACAAAAAAATTAAGGCCTACAAGGCTTACATAAAACGTTATCTTATTGCAACTGATAACTGTCAACAACTCAAAATGAATCAGGTCTTCAAGCTGATGCTTACTAGAAAGGATTCAAGCTGATTTTATAGTAGTTACATGGCTACATTTTCAGCTGACCTATACTTGACTCCTGACTCAGTCAGGGAAAGAACTGTATTCCCTGGAGATCAAATAAAAATATGCATAACCCATTAAATTCTGTTTTTCAGTCATGTGTGGTATAGTGATTGACAGCTCTTCCACAACAACACACATAGTCAACTCAAGCAAATTGAGTTTTGTTTTTAACAAAATATTTTCCTTACACGTCAGCCTGACTGAAAGGTGTGTTTATTTCTGATCCTGATGGTACAATTTACAAAACACCTGGAAGTTATATAACAGGAGAACTAGTACAAGTATATCAAATTAAAAACACAATTACAGTTTATTTTTAATAGATTCTTTCATACAATTAACATCACTAGACACCCCAAGGTCTAAAATAGTGATTTTTAGTTAGACACAAAAATATACAATTTTACAAAAGAGATTAAAGCAGGCTTACAAAAACTATCTCGATAAAGGCAAGGTGAGGTAAGACTCAGGGTTAGTGAGAGAGAAGAGAGGCAATTTTCAGGGAGGAGACATTGTGCAGAGTTGGTGCAGGACAAGAAACAAGATTGCTCTTTGGCCTAAACTTTCCCCATGCCTAGCCTGAGACACTGCATCTTGATGCATGGAGGTTCTGTTAAGGCTTAGAAGGCTTGCCCCACAATTCAGAGGAAGCAGTAGATCAGTTTGCTGGCTGCTGGCTGCAGAGCTGGTCAAAGAAAAAGTGACAGAACTATATTCTGTAGAAACAGGCAGCTCTAAATAAATCCAAACATTTTGCGAAACTGGGCTGATTTTGTCAGAATTTTATTTCAGAAAAAAATGGAGGAAAAATTTCTGAGGCATTCTGACATTTTCAGAAAGAAATGCTTTTTTTTTGTTTTGAAACTACTTTTATATAGACTATTTACATTTTGTATTACACACTACTAGAATATAATCAAAGTTTAAAAAGTTGAAACTGAAACAAAACATTTGAATTAAATGAATCGGGCGGCCGGGGGGAGAAGAGGGGTATTTTCCTTTCTGGAGAACTTCTGTTTTTCAGTTTTTGTTCTAAATCGGAATGAAGACAAATTTCAAAAATCTCAAAATCCTTCGGGAAACAGAACTTCTTTCTGTCTTTGGCATAGTTCTGTGTACTACTGCTCCCAAAGGCAGGTGGCCCTGTGAGGAGGTGGATCTGCCAGCCCCATGCAATAGAGCAGGGGTTCTCAACCTTCTATAAACCCCCCAACATGCTATAAAAACTCCACGGCCCACCTGTGTCACAACTGTTTTTTTGCATATAAAAGCCGGGGCCGGCATTAGGGAGTAGCAAACTGGGCAATTGCCTGGGGCTCCATGCCACAGAGGGTCCCGTGAAGCTATATTGACCAGGCTTTGGCTTCAGCCCCAAATGGTAGGGCTCAGGTCCTCAGCTTCAGCCCCATGCGGCAGGGCTTCGGCTTTCTGCCCTGGGCCCTAGGCTTGGTGGCTTCCCTGAAACCTGCTCGCAGCCCCCCAGGGGACCCCGGACTCCTGGTTGAGAACCACGGTAATAGAGTTCACTGCACAACTGGACTCACAGTTGAAGAGTGAGTCTCCTCTGTACAAATCCCCTATCTCAGCACAATTACATTGGTTACACTGACTGGGACCTGTGCAGTTTTAGAAGAGGAGACAGGATTTGACTCTCAAAACATCTACACTTTGCTCTGAGCTTTAATGAAATGCACCACAAAACATGCAGCTACTAAAATCTAAAAGCTACTAACAGCTAATGAAAAACACTCTATTTAAAATTCTGATTCGCTGCCACATTTTCTGCCTGTAAGTGTGCACACACGCACAGAGGGGATTCTTCCTTCATTCTTTATCACTATTGACATTTGTATGAAAACTGTCTATACATTTTCATCTTCTCCATCTATTTATATTCTATCTGCCATTTGTGACATCACAACTTGCTGTTGGAAAAACTATTTGTGATGGTGTCACATTAAATGTGATAAGTTATCAGATTTCCCAGCTGTACTTAAGAAAACTGTCAGCCTGCACATGAGTAATATGACCTCCTACCAGCAGGTGGAGACATGAAAATTGGCAATTCCAATGACATTTGTACTATCAATCAACTAAGAACATTAGTTCTGGTGGAGGAATCTAGATTAAGAAACTTTC